GCTATAGTACAAAAGCTAATCTAGTGGACGTGTAAATGATGATAAGCTTGATGCTAAGTTTAAATTGGTCACTATACTCATAAGCTCTTTGATGCAAGCTGTGTCAAGCTAGCCCACCTCATAAGCCTTGCATGACCCTTGGTGTCTTTTATTTCGGTTTTGACGGGTAAGTCTAGTGAGTACCTTCTCGCACTCGGGGTTTATCTCCCACCGCTGCGAGATGACCGCCTCTACTTTGGTTGTTTTGCAAGTATTGCCTTCTCCCGGCTGGGGATGAAGACTAGACCGTTGGGCACGGTCTCTCCTAGTTCTCGTACCTGATAATGCTTTTGTAGGACATGACTAAGATCTGGCAATGTATTTGAAACTATGAAGTTATGTACTAAACTATGTTGCTTCCGCAAATTTGAACTTGGTTTATAATATTTTATTCGCACTCTGATGGATGTAATCCGGATGCCACTTGTGAAATGTTGTAATGAATGATGTGTTGTGTTGAATCACTACGGTCTTGGTTTGTATGTCGAGAGTTGTTTGAAATCCTTCGTGATTTCTGGACTATCGGGATTATGGGAGCTTAAGTACAGAAATTTGATCACTTCGGTGATTGTTTTTGTACTTACGTTCTTATAATTTGGTCGGTTCTGTTACAAGTATCTAGTATTGGAGCAAGCATGCAGCAATTGGTACTTGACCAACTACTACTCTCAGGACAAGCATGCAGCAGTTGGTATAAGACCAACTTCTATCTACTAAAGACAACATAACTTAAGACTTAAGTGTAATGCATATTTGTAAAACACAAGGTAAGGTTTTTATGCTCCTGGGCTTGACTACGGTGGTGTGGTTGTCAACTTCTTCAAAAACACCACATTTATCAAACCCAAGTTCCACTGGTTGAAAACCCTCCTCGGAAACTTGTTCCACAGTAGAGTCCTCACTCTTGTTCACTATTCGTAAATAAAGATGCATGCTTCAATATGATGAAGTATTTAACATGATGTATGAGATGCAACATGGATAACGATGATTTATCCAACTCATTAACTTAAGTACAACTTTCCTTCACGGTATAAGAAATGTTATTACTCACAAAACATGTTTTAATTATTATTCAACAAGTTAATTATGGATACAACAAGCAAATGAATAAGTTGCCAAGTAACAGTAGCGTTTTGGTGTTCCAAGGACTTCACTCAATATTTAAAAATCACCAAAATCATTTACTCATTTTTTCTACTTCATTTTAGTATTTATTTAAGGCAACGGATCAGGTGGAAACCAAGCTTATGTGCAAACTTTGGAAACCATCAATCTGGACCGCTGGATCTGCATCCGATGTCTTCAGATAGAGGTGAGCGCATTTTGCAATTAAACGCCCGCAATTAGCACACTAGTTGCGTTGTTTTGCGAAAACCCCCCAGCGCAAACAGGAGCCTAGTCCGTCGTTCCGGCTGGCAGCGCGTCAATTCGCGCAAGAGCCGCGGATCGCGTGTCCTTCCATTTTGGTGGAGCTAGGTATTACCACATGACATTTACACAAAAAGTTTCATGATTAAAGGATTATTATTTTGGCCTACAAAAATCATACATCTAGCATTTTTTCATTAAAAGATGGAATTTTTTAGCATAGCAAAACTACTGAACATGGTTAATTCATATTTTTGCTGGATAGAGCATTTCATAAAAAAACTAACAAAATAAGTTTCACATTTTTAGCATCATTAATTATTTAGTTATGAATTTTACAAGATTTCAGCGCTATTACCATATTCTGCAAAAGATTAAGCTCGATTTAAACTTTTCTTACTCACCCTCACTCTACCCTCACTCACTGACAGCGGGACCCGGAGTCAACTCAGCCCTTCTCCGGCCTTGGCCGCGCGGCGCGCGGCGCCCGGCCGGTACGGCGGCTAACTCGCCGACGGCAAGGACTCCGGCGACGGGAAGGGCACCAACGTGCTCCCCATCCTCCCTCACAACGATCTATTCTACTGGTTCGGCATCTAGGGCTTCACGGCAAGCACGGCGGCGACTATGGCGGCACGGTGGCGCTCCGGCGCGGCGAATCCTACCAACGGCGGGGTCACCGGCGACGGGAACTACACCTACGCGCTCAAGTTGACCTATCTCGCTCGACCAAGGGGTTGGTTGGGCGGATAAGGGCTCGGAGCGAGCTCGGCCGCGGCCATGGCGGCTCGGCGGAGCTCCGGCACGGCGTGACGCCGGCGGCTAGAGGGCGGCAGAGGTTAAAAGGAGGGCACAGTCGTGACCATGATCTCAACACGGGCTTTATAGGTTACTAACTGAGGCGGTGGCGGAGCGGTGATGCACTGCCGTCGGTGATAGCGGGTGCGGCGACGTGAACCGGCGGCGAAGGTGATGTTCCGGCGCATCCTGCGCTGTAGAGGTAAAAAGGACGAGCCGATCATGATCTAGGAATCAAGGCGAGCTCAACGCGACAAACGGCAAGGTGAACGGCTCACCAGAGTGGTCTGACTACGGCGGAGAGGGTCGCTGCAGTGCTGTGCTCGCCGATGAGGAAGATGGCGGCCTCCGGCCGATTCCGGCCGAATTGAACGGCGAGAGCGGGTCGAGCGTAAGCGCAAAGAAGTGGCTAACTTTTCTGCGATGTGAATTGGACAGAGGTGGAGGGACGGCGATGTATTTCACTGGTGAACCGAGAGCTCAACGGCGGCGGCGGAAAGAAGAAAAGGGAGAGGTGGTCGCCGGCGCGGGGTTTTGACGGCGAGGGGGCGGCTTACAGACGTTTCCACCTCCAGTTATAGCACGGCCAAGGCAACAGCTGCGTGTCCGCGCGCGCCAAAGCGGCAACAGAGGGCGGCGGCGCCGGTGAAGCTGACAGCCGAGCTGCTGCCTGTGTGGGCACTGTAGCAGACTGAATCTTGATCTTCTTCTTCCTTTTTTTTCTGATTTCCAGTGGCAACTTGATGAACTTCCTTACTATAATAGCTTCATATTGATGAGATCTCAAACATTGCCCACAAGCACACCCTTGAATTCTCACTGGATAGAGAGATCAAGAGAGAAGAACTAGGGTAGGCACAAACTGAAAACTGGATTTCAGTTAGGGTTAGGGTTCACTGATTTTGATTAGCATTCTTGGAGAATTAATTGGTGATTAAGCATGATTCAAACTTCACAACCAATAGCACCATTTCAAAGTACACACTTTGTACCAACAAATGATACTATGGTTGCCTCAAGTTTAATTTGAGAAATTCATTTTCATAAATCCCCAAAATTGAAGTTTCTAATCAATTTTCAACACAACCATTTCTGCCTAAGTATTGAAATGGAGTTTGAATTTCAAATTTGGAGCTTCAATTTTAGTTGGTTTGACTTGAATTCATACCCAACACTTGACACTAGTGTAAAGTACTCACTTTACACCACAAAGTTTATTTGGGCATAATTCCAAGTATTTTGGTGAAATTCAAAAATAGAAGGTCACAAAGTACCTTAAAAGCATTTTTGGTTCTACACATCACAACACATATGCATTGCATTGCTAACATTTTAACATTGAGTTTAGTAGATGCAAAGCATGGTTAGCTATCATGGATGATTACTATGCATGATGATGAACATGATCAACTTTTAGTGATGCTTGACACCTAGGGTGTTACACAGAGGACACCGGATCCGGACCCATAGGGCATGGATTTGGTGCTTCGCTAGCCTTCGAGCTCGCCGTCGGCTATCCATGTCGCCGAAGAATGGAGCTCGCAAGGGAAAGGAGGGTAGGAGAGGAGGGAGGAGAAGGAAGCTGTTGCGGTGGAGCCTTGGGCGTCGCAGAGGGCCGCTGCCCCCGCTAGTTGGAGAGCGGCCGTGGCGGCCAGGGGAGCAGGTGCGGCGAGGTTTTGGGTAGCGGAGTTGTGTCGCCCCCCGGTGGCCCGTACGAACGACGCGAGGAGGCAGACGTGACTAGCAAACAAAAGTGAAAACTTCAGGGGGAATGTGTTTCGCCTTGATAAAACGAAGTGAGGTTAATGCCGCGCTTTACAGGAGCGTGTGACCCTATCGTCTTCCTCACCCCGTCGTCTTCGTCACGCCTGCCCGCCTCACCCTTGCCTTCCTCGCCCACCGCCCAAGCCAGCGCACCCCCGCTGCTGCCACACGGCCCATTGCCCACCTCGCCCTCCACTAATCTCAATCAAAGGAGGAAGAACGGTCGATCGCCCCTGCCACGAGCTCTTCCCATCCGTTTGTCATCCACCGCACGCTCGCGCGGCGCCCATCCGCCTCGTTCGCCGTCTCTCAACCCGCCACCACCGCCGGTTCGGCCCCCGCCCAAGGCCCCTCCCCCTTCTAAGGCCATCGGTAATAGAGGTACCCTAAGAAACCTAAATCCTTAGCCCAAAACCCTAACCCCACCGCCACCGCCACTGTCGGCGGCGCTCCCTCTCTCCCTCCCTAATTTTGGCAGCATCGACCGGTCGCACGCTCCAAGCGTAGCACGACCGGTCACCAAATAGAGTTTGCGTAATAAAACTAGCTGGTTCTGTTTTCAAGCAAATGAAAGTGCAACAAAACTATATTAAGAGCTTATGGTTTCATTCCATGGCGTTTCAGCCAATCTCGTGCAGCATTTTATTGCAATATCATCCAACAATTAAATGTTACTGTTGTCCTATGAAACCTTGACACGATACTTTGACTCCGTTCGCGTGCCCTTGAACTCGACTTAATCCACTTCTTTTTTTATCCGGAATAGTGTTTTTCTCTCACAAATTCATCCAAATTCATTCAAAACCATCTAGGTTCCTCCAAATTCCTTCCATCCAACGAGCCTTTGTATTGGAAGGATCGTGTCATACTCCTACATTAATAATAATAATAATAATAAAATAATAGTAAATCAATAAATATTATCGTGGGCATGCACTCGTGAGTGAGTGCTGTCACTTCCCCTTCCCCTCCCTCTTTCCCCATCTCTTCCGCTCGCTGCTGGTGGCCCCGTGATTTCGCGCCTGCGAATGGCGGGCGGAAGCGGCGAGGCGGCGATGTCTCCGCCGTCCTCCGGCGGCGGGAAGCGCGGGCGGGACCCGGAGGAGGACGTGTACGTGGACAATCTCCACTCCCACAAGAGGTACCTCAGCGAGGTCGGTCGCCCATTCCACGCCCTGCTCCACTGCGTTCCCTCTCGTTTTAATCTGGGTGGTTGGTTCTCAGGCTGGGTTGGTTCTCAGGCTGGGCACCGGGAGTGTGCGGAAAAGGAGTGCGGGTTCCGGGTGGTGCCTTGGCCAATTCATCCGATACAGCCGTTGCCGGTCTCGAATCGATTGTGTTGCTCTGCTTCTCAATCTGGGCTCCAGGATTTGGTTGTTAATTCCTCGAATTGGATGGTTCCTCGGGCCGATTTGACTGTTTGCGGTCTGTTGCTGTATTAGTCTTCTGCTTTTGTTTCGATTTGTGCTTCTTTGGCTCCAACGTTGGGTGGTGTTAAAACCTAGCTCTGGCCTCATTTGTGGAATGTCGGCTTGCTTTTCAGCCCCTGCTCTGTACAACCGTTGCTGCTTTTTTCTCCAATTCCTTGGGAAGCCCAGGTGCTCTGGTAGCTCCGAAGCCGCATATTCCTCTGCATTCATCTTCTCCTCTCCAAATCAGAATAGCTGAGCAATTTTATACATTTTTTTGAGGAAACTACAAACAATTTATACATTAATTACAAACAATTTATAAATGATTGTTTATGTATGCATACTCCACCGTGCATTGCGGTATTGTCATGCAGTAAGCTTGAAACTTGAAAATGACAAGACGAGAATAAATTACAATCCTCAATCTCGCAATATCGCCCATTAATCTTAGTGTTATTCAATTGTTTCTCCAGAAATGAATCTTTCAAAATTTATTTTTCATCTGAGACTAGTTGTGAGATGACAGATGAGACAGTGTTAGTGTTCCATTTGTTTTAAGTTGCTAATCCATCTTCCCCTGAAATGCATGACCTTCATTCTCATCCAATTCTAAATATGTAGCACCCCAATTTCCCTGTTTTCCTAAACAAATTGGAGAAAGCCTGTTCATTAACTGAGAATTTAGGTAACAGGAAATATTTGTGCAAGTCAAGAAATCTGGCCTTTGCTTTTAGTACAGTTAGCAAGCAACAAAACTGTCGTTAGAGAAGGCTTTAGTGCAATTGCTACTGAATATATAATTATAGAGTAGCCTTTGTAGCATGGATGCTAGTTTGTTGTCAGATTCAATTGCCATTTCCATCTCATTTCTGCCTTGAATTAACTGACACTTATGTTTGCACGCCACTGCAACTTAGTATCTTCTGAAATCAATAATTGATTCTTCATACTTTTTACCTGTTTCATACTAAGTTCCATGCTATAACAGAACATGTATGCATGGTTTTTCACTATACATGGTTACAAAAATTATTTTGTCTCTGTCAGTAAATCTGGAGATTCCGGAGATAGTATGATCGCTCACACATAATTGCTCCAGTGGTTGCACTCACATGTAAGCAATTAAGTATTGAACATATTTTAAACATAATAGGTCTCTTTAATGTTCCAGATCATGTCAAGTTATCGATATGTAGTTAATGTTAGTACTTGAATGGTGCATGTGGCTATGAATGTTGATGTCCGTCACACTTTGTTGGTAGTTGGTTAGCCATGTGGGAACTGTGGTCAGGAAGCATAAAAATACACTCGGAGACATCATCTTGTTTTTGTGGGTTTTACTTCTGTTGATTTGGTACTTCTACTTCTCAGCAATTATATTGTGCTGCATTGATGATATGAATTTCATACTGAATGATCATACTTGCCTCCTTTCAGGGATGAGATATTATCCCAATACTCGCCAATGTCAGAAGACTCGGATGATTACCGGTGCTATGACACTCAATTAAACCCCAGTGGGAATCATCCTGATGCGATGATCAGCCCTTCAACTAGTCCAATGTCATCTCCTCACCGACACCAGAGACCACAATCTCCTTTGTTACCTTCAAACCCATACCCTCTCCCAAGCTGCTCCCTTTCATCAGTAGTCTGCTCTCATGCTCGGCGTGGCTCCGATAATGAAGGCCGGTTCCCATCCTCACCGAATGACATGTGCCACGGGGCAGATTTGAGGCGAACAGCACTACTGAGGTCAGTGCAAATGAGGGTGCAGGGACCCCATTCGTACGACCTATCATTCGGCATGAGACAAGGACAAGAACATGTACATGAGCATGAAGATGAACATGAGCATGAACATCTAGAGGATTTGGAAAGGACAGAAAGATCATCATCTTGCAATAAGTCAACCGTTGACGAAATCTCGTACCAGAGACCTGACCATGATTTTGGTCGACCAGAGCACGAGATAGATTACATCAACAACTGCACATCAGATGATTGTCCAAGTGACCTAAAATTTAAGCAAGAAGATAAGAGCCATAGTAAATTTGATGCCCGTATGGACAAGAATACATAGCACAGGGAACGTACTGTATCACTTTCACTTTTTTTTTTTGGAATTATAGCTCTGCTTAACTTTGTTGTAGTATTGATGGTCGTCTTATCTACTGTTTTCCGTGGTTTGAGCATCAGCGTTCTGAATAGCGACATTGTAATATTTGACTGAAATTAACCTTTGGAGTGTTGCAATGCCATCAGATTGTATGTAAGCTCACCGACAAAATTGTTTGAAATGGCAGATTAGCCCTTGTAATGCAACTCAAGTAGCAAACATGAAATTTGTTCTGATAATGAACAGTTAAAGTTCTCGCAGAAACTGGCAAAAAAAGAATTCGTGTGATTCGAATGGGACCTGAAGTATTGTGAATCAGCACATTGACTAATTGGTTTTTTAGAACAACCGCAACTGGCATCACAAGTACATGAGTGACCCTGTGGCCAACAACAATTGGTAAGTCCCATGTTGCCAGCTAACAGAGTTACCAATCCAAATAAGATGCATCAAGATTTCACCTTTCACCAGATTACATTAGGGCAAGATAACTCGCAGAAGCTGAATAACCAATTTATTGGATCAAAAACAAAGTATAGGCTGTCATCACAGGATGGCTACATAAACCTTCTTCTGTGTGAAGTAAACTGTGAGTACGAAGTCAATCCCTGGAACCAGAAAAGACAAAAGGGATCTACGTGCATGAACTAGCTCTGCCACTACTGGACTTTCACTATCACCTTTCTCTCATATCATCCGATTTCTACTGCTCTCCTTTCCTCACAAGTGGTGGTTGCGCTATCAGCTCAAGTCACTGGCAGGCCGTGGCTGTGGGTCATCACCTTCAAGAAGAGAATGTCGAAAGAATGTTCTTCTTAATGATGAATTCATCGGCTTTGGAAGGACTGATCGACTGCAATACGATGAAATATGAAAATTAGCTTCTGAATTAGTAATATAGTTGACAGATTGAATGGGGGGGTGGAAACTTATATGCACACCTTCTCCAGCAAGCGGTGAAGCCTCTCAGTCTCCTCCTTAGTGTAGTCAGAGCCCTTGTCCATAATCTTCTTTGCAGCTGTCACATATATCTTTCCGTGCCTGGTTTAGAAGCAAAATAGTTACTACTTGTAGTTTGACAATTGTATTACCAACATAAAAATGTTAGACCAGTCAAGTAGCCTGCAAACATGGTGGAGGGGAAGGTGGAAGAAAGTACTTGGCAGCAGAACCGCTGAGCTTAGCAACATCCTCTTCTATTTTAGAGAGGACTTCCTTCCGTTTGTCATCAGCAGCATTGAGAAACTCCTTCACAAGAGGATTCAAGCTTGCCACAAGCCCAGCCTACAGAAGTGAACAGAATACATCAGATTCAGAATTCATCAGCTTGATTCCAAAGTGAATTTGCTTAATTTTAACCAACCTCTGAATTCAGTTGGCCCTTTGAATCCCGGCTGGTGCCACACTTCTCATTAATGAACTTGACAAAGTCATCCAAGTCCCGGCCACCATCATAATCTTCACCAGCTTTGTTTCCCTTAGGGAAGAACTTCAATGTGGGGAAACCAGAAACACCATACCTGCAAGACATATATTATTAAAATTCTGCCATGATCATGGAAGAAAGGACAGACGTAGTGAAACTTATTATAAATTCAGTCAGAGGTTGTGTTATCCCTAACAGTCTGTCAAATTACAAAAGAACCACTTCCGTATTTCCTCAGGAAAAAATTCCATCACAATCACAGTATAAGATGAAGAATCCAACCATGTTAAACTAAAAACAGAAAGCTAATGTGCATAACAACCACTGAAATAGGCTAGTCAGAATCCATACTTTTCAGCCAAGTCAGTGTGCTTGTCAGCATCAAGATTGGCGATCACAACACCATCGTCCTGCTTGAAAACTGAAGCCAGCTTCTCATAAACCTAAATCAAGTACAAGTGTATGTTCAGTCCACTGAAAAATGAAGATCCGCTGCAATAATTTGGAAATTTTCAAGCTAATACTCTCTACTAACCGGAGCAAGATGCTTGCAGTGACCACACCTGTAAACAGAAGGGCCAACAATGGAATTAGATTTCAGTAAAGTAGTGTGATGAAAAGAATTTAGGTGGACATAAGTTGAACACGATAACCAACCATGGGGCATAGAACTCAACAAGAACATCTTTGGTTTCATCAAGGACAATTGAGTCAAAGGTCTCTGGAGTCAGAACCACAACGCTTGAAGGAATGGCAGCTATCTTGACATTGGTACCTAGAACAATGTGCAAATTAGTTGACAATAGTCGATTCTTCAACAAGTAGCACTTGATAGGACTTCGATCAAAATAAAGATGCCATTATGTGCGTAAACATAATTAACTAAAAGAGATTTTGCATGATAGCAAATGGCTTATGCATAATTAAAGCAATGAACTTCACAATAGAAAAAAATATGAATATGACTAACAGCATCTATAATAAGTATCAAAGGGGCCAAAGGATGGCAGTAAATAGCACATTTTGGTAATTTCACTTGATGTTCATTGCTCAAGATTTAGTGCTTTTACAAATAACCTGTTTGTTTCTTTTGAAAGAATAACACTAGGGGAAGCCCCTACTGTGATAAGTGTAAAATATATGCTTCATTGTCTTGGTAATTAGAAAACAACACAACATGGTTGAGAACTGTTCTTAGCAACAGGCGAGGCCTACCTGCTTCACTGTTAACAAATTCTGCAAGGGCTTCCACAGAACGTTGACCCTCATACCTGCACAAGAGTAGATTTAACATTATTATAACAGTAAAAAAAGTCCTAGAAAGTACAAAACAGAAGGTATGCATTCTCACTTCTTCGGTTCCAAGGAACCTTTGGGGAACCATTGAATTGTGGGGTACCCAGAAACTCCATACTTGCTGCACAAACTCTTGTGCTCATCGCAGTCAACCTAGGTAGTAGATACAAAGAAGAAAACAGTCAATTTATTGTAGCAAAAAAAATGTAATTAGACATTCAAAACAAGTTTTGATAACATAGAAAATCATGGGATGTAAATGATGAAAACTGTTGCAACATCAACATTCCACTAGGGAGACTAAACAAGGTGAGATGTACCTTTGCTATTAATACAGATTTAGCCTTCTTGAAGCTTGTGCCAAGTTTTTCGTACTCGGGGGCAAGCTTTTTGCAGTGGCCGCACCTAAGAAACAGAAGATGGTCAGAAAAAAAGTATCTGATGAAAAGATCACTAAAAACAAATGGTCATAGAAAGATTTCCAGTAAGTGAGTTATGCTCACAGAAAAGATTTTTGGATATGTGTGAGACTGCAAAATAAGACAAGATTTTAAGTGATTGATTCTACAGATTACAGTATACTCTAGAATATTTCAATCAACAAAAGAATAACGCAATGAAACAAAATATTTGAAACACTCATCTGGTTGGCAACACTATCACTTGCTGAAAACTTTTCTCAACAAAGGAATTCAGACAATTCAGTTCCAGAAGAACCTACCCAAGTATAATATAACAGAACCAAATCCTGAATTCTGATTTATATGCATAATAAAAGGCATTTAAATAGTCCGTGTGATTCATTTTCATCAGATTGCATGGCAGTTTTAGATCACCTGAATGTGGATGCTGTACTCACTAACGCAACGAAACAAAATATCCAGTGCTTCATGAACTACCAGCAAGTGATCATTAGCACATCACAACATAAGATTTGACCCTTTCATTTCTACAATCAAGCACTAAAGACCCTTCTAGCGGTAAGACCTTCCCCGCTCTCATGAGCATCTACTAACAAGCCAAAGCGCTAGGCAGACTACAGCCATAGAGAAGAAAAATCAAACAATACGAATTGTTACAGGATCAGATCCCATAAGTCTCGGTGCAACACACACGCCCATATCTACTACGCACACGTTTGGGATCTCAATCCCATTTGGCAACAAGGATCCGTAACAGCTAGAACTACTAGCCTGCTATAGCTAAGAGAAGCACAAACACACGCAGCCGAAGGATCCAGGCTTTCTGGCTCCCGTAGAGCAATGACTCCCCGATCCAACTCGCCCGAGAATCCAAACTGGTCAACTCAATTGTGAAGCTGGCACGGATTTATGAGCTACAAAAACATGCTACAGACGTGAGCAAGGACGAGCACAGCAATTTCCAAGGATGTAAATGTAATACCGGCCCGACATATTACAGCCTATCGGCTCCTAGACACCACGAACCACGGATCCGGCCCGACAACGAGACAGAGAGAGGAGGGGAGAGGGGGGCGAACCATGGCGCGTAGAACTCGACGAGGGCGCCGCGGTCCTGGCCGACCTCCTTCTCGAAGTCGGCTTCCGTCAGGGCCACCACCTCGTCGGCGGCGGCCGGCGAGACGACCGCGGCGGCGAGGACGAGCAGGAGGCCCAGGGCTCTGCGGGAGATCTGAGGGGACGCCATGATGCGAGCTAGAATGAAAAATCGGGGGAGACCGGAGAAGTGAAGCCGATTAACAGTACAGTTACTTGGTTACTGGCCCCGTTTGTTTCCGCTTCTCCTGGCCACGCTTGGATTATAATCTAAGCGAAGATTTTCTCGCTTCTCGCTTTTCGCTTCTTGTAGTTTAAATCTCTGAAGCGGCTTACCACATAAGCGAGAATCGATGGAAATAAGCAAAACGTTTGGCGGGATTCTCGTTTATTTCCACCGACAAGCCGCTTATAAGCGGAAACAAACGGGGCCATTATAAAGGGAGATTATTGTTAGAAGAAGAGAGTGGGCCCAGGGCACGTGAAACGCACTGCCTGCAGGCTCCGAGGATCCGTTTCCCGCTTATAAGCGGCTTATCGATGGAAATAAGCGAGAATCCCGTCAAACGCTTTGCTTATTTCCACCGATTCTCGCTTATGTGGTAAGCCGCTTCAGAGATTTGAACTATAAGAAACGAAAAGCGAGAAGCGAGAAAATCTTCGCTTAGATTATAATCCAAGCGTGTCTGGGAGAAGCGGAAACAAACAGGGCCTACGCCAGCACT